GGGGGTGGATTTTAGCTTCTAGTTTGGTTACCACATCTGCCCTTCTCTCCTAGGGAGGAGAGAAGAGTCATATCCAGGCAATGACATTGCTTTAGCTGTGAGTCTGAACAGTTTAATCATGCAGGGAATTGGGGACTATCCCTTTTTCTAGGCCCAAGTTCCTGTGTGAGCATGAAGGGCAAAAGGGCAGTGAGAACTGACTGTCTAGAGTTCAGCAGGCTTATACCTTCCCTCGCACGCCCACTCCAAGGTACATGGTCACTGAGAAGACGTGGGCAGAAATGCCCACTTAAATGATCTCTCTCTTGCCACCCTCCCGTCTCTCTCACATGCACGCTCTTGCCAAGTGTGTATAGTTGAGTTCACAGAAGTTAAAGGCTTGTGTGTGATGGGAACCTATTCCCTGCGAACAAAATTCAAGCCATGTGGAAGGGATAAAACAGTCATGGATTAAACTTCCGGGCAGAGCTCCAAGGCTCTTTTAGGGTATTATTTTATTTCATTCTCAGAACCAAATCTGCAAAGTAAGTAATGTTATCAGAACAGAATGACAGAGGAAACAAGCAAATTGCTGCACGGCCCATATTTGGAAAGTGGGTCAGTGGGATCATAACCTACTTCTCTGTAATTCTGAAGTCAGTGCCCACGTTAGGACACCAGAGGCAGGCTGGTCAGAAGGTTGCCAAGCACTGCAGGGCCGACCTCGTAACAATGCAAGGCTGCCTTCTGGAGCCCAGGCTGTCGTGGAGAAAAGAGGTGCGGGGAGGTACAGGGGTGTGCCTTTCCTCTTCTCAGAGTTTCCCTAGATTCTCAGAATGGAAGAAATGGAAGAAGGAAAAGTGGAGAGGCTATACCCAGGAAATCCCAATTAACAGACCTCTACTCTGGGCCGACTGGCTTTGGGACATCTGAGGAACCTGCAAAAACTTGCCCCTGGCCTGCAGAACCATGCACAATGAACAAACAATAAGCCCCCTGAACTATTGGATCAACCACTCATCCAACTTAGGAAAATCTAACACCATGTTGTTTGTTTCTTTTTATTTTTGAGAAAGGGTCTCTCTCTGTCACCCAGGCTGGCATGCAGTGGTGCAATCACAGCTCACCGTAACCTCCGACCCCAGGCTCACTCGATCCTCCCACCTCAGCCTCCTGAGTGCCTGGGATCATAGGCATGTACCACTACACCCAGGTATGTTTTTGTATTTTTAGTAGAGATGAGGTCTCACCATATTGCCCAGGTTGGTATTGAATTTCTGAGCTCAAGTAATCCACTCTCCTTGGCCTCCCAAAGTGCTGAGATTATAGCCATGAACCATCGCACCCAGCCTCATGTTCATTTCTTTATTATTCTTTGAAATGCTTTAATGGATCTTCCTAGAGCAAATCTACCTTCTCTACCTTCCTAGTTATGATCTGCAAAAGCCAACGTTAGAAAACAAAGGCACAATAACTCCTGGCCACTAAAAATAGAATGAATCATCCCAAAGATGAAGGTATCTGGCATTGAAATTTTCCACAAGAAATCCATTAGGTAAACAACTGGCTCCTAGATAAGGAAGCATTTACTTCACTCAAATTGAAGATGTCAAAAATACAGTCACCATCTTGCTTTCAGGAAGAAAAAATTTAAGCTATCCCCACTCATGAAAGAGAAGAAATGAGGGGTTACTAAAGGAATGAGCCCAGTCAGGCCTATAGCTGCACACATCCCTCTATTACCCAGAAGGCCCCATGTAAGCTGGGAGCAGAGGATGAGGCTACTTGATGGGAAGTCTGGAGTTTATCACACGAGACTCCAGGTCTCGGCTCAATGGGCAAAGTAAAAACAAACTCACCGTTTGATCCAGCTGAAAGAGCTGTGGAAAGAAAGGCAAACAGCTATGAATGAGCACATGCTGGGTTTGTTGTTAAACTGAGAAATCAGCAAAAAGTGAATGAATGCCTGAAATGGGATCAATGTCCTTTCCAAACATTCAATCTGCCTGTTCTCATCCAATATAAACACCAAAAAATGCCAAGAACAATTGGAACCTTTACTTGTTTTTTTTTTTTTTCTGAGTTATAGACAATTATTGCAAAAATGTAATGTACTTATATTTTTACACTGCTGTTTTATTTGTAGCTGGCAACCTTTGCTCTTTCTTTTTTCTTTCTTTCCTTTTTTTGGGGTATAATTATTCAGAAGTCTATACCCTAAGAGGCAGCAGGTACTTTCTACCACCTAAAATTAAAAGAACATACCACCTACAGGGCTTGGAAATTCAACAGCTCTATAAGGGCCCTGTAGCCCATTTGTGGTGATCTGGGGTTTCAGCTCTAAAAGCTAAATTTAACCCTTCTTACACTTGAACCTTAATATCCACAATGCTAGACTGATATAGATGCTGACGTATTAACTACCTGCTATGTGATTGAAGACTATTACTTATGGGGTACCAGCATTTGTGAAATTGATGGAACACAGCTCTCCGATACTAGAACCAAATGCCTGAGAACACTGTGCTAATATTTATACCAATATTTATTTATTTATTTATAATATTTATTTATAATATTTATTTCCAGTGATATCTGTAAATAGGTTAGTTTACTTCTGGAAAATTCTTCCATCTTAAAAGCTTGGGATTTAGGGATTCAGACTATATCCTCTTCAAAGCAACCACATACCTGAAAGCTTAGGTTGTGTCTTTTTCTTTTTGCTTGAAACTTTTAAAAACTCATCAACAAGCAAGTCGTTAGCACAGGCTCTCTTGTCAGGATCTGGTTCAAAACATTTCAGTATGAATGCCTTGGCCTCTGCAGACATGGACTCTGGGATCTCAGGGTGGACTTTAAACATCCCCACCTAAGACATAAATATAAAAAGACATAAATATAAAATATAAAAAGTTCACTCTTCTAAGTGAACACCTCAGCACCTGAACCCCAGCTCCCACAACTTGATCCCCCAATGCAACAAGATCCTTTATCATACAACACAAACTCATAGCTTTTCTTAAAGGGAGAGAGGACAGGTGTACTGTAGGTTATAAAAGGTCTACAGAATGTCTTTGTACCTTTACCAATGGCACAGGCAGAAGAATCGGTTGAAGAAAGTAGATAGCACTATGGAGTAATAATTTAGTCCTTCAAAGCTTTAGAACACATTGGTACACTGGAAAAAGGATTTTTTATTTTTTAAGAGAGGGTCTTACTCTGTTGCCCAGGCTGGAGTGCAGAGCAGTACGATCTCAGCTCACTGCAGCCTTGACCTCCCAGGCTCAAGAGATCCTGTCACCTCAGCCTCCTGAGTAGCTGAGGCTACAGGTGCATGCTACCACGCCTGGCTAATTTTTTGTATGTTTTGTAGAGACGGGGTTTTGCCACGTTGCACAGGGTGGTCCAAACTCCTGGGCTCAAGCAATCCACCCACCTCAGCCTCCCAGGTGCTGGGATTACAGCATGAGCCACCATCCTCAGCCACTGAGCTGAGACCACTGAGTTGCTCACAATAGCTAAGTGCTAGGCATCGTGCTGGGATTTTTCCACTTATGAATCTCATCAAATCCTTCCAACAACCCAGTGGATTAAATATTTTCCTTGTTACACCAATCAGGAAAATAACACTTAGAAGGGATGAGGTGACATGGTTAAGAAAAGGGAGATCTGGGATTTGAACTTGAATTTGCTTGGATTAAAGCCTATGTTCTTTTCCCTATTACATGATTTGATTTGTGACTATCTTCTCTGTCTCAATCACCTACATCAAAAGATACCTTTAAAAGCACTTTAAAATTAAACAAACAATATTTTATAACAATTCAAATTTACTTCTTATTGCTGCTATTCTAAAAAAATTAATGGTATTTTCATTTTTTAGTACAAAGCTAATTTTCAAAAGCAATCCTTTTGTTCTTATATAGCTTATGTAAATTCATTGTTATGTAAACAATATATAATTATTTGTAAGAATTATATAGCCTATACTACGTGTCAGACACAGTTCTTAGTACTTGGTACATTTTGCCTCATTGACTCCTCAACAAACTATTAAAAGGTACTTTTTTTTTTTAAAGACGGAGTCTCACTCTGTCACCCAGATGGGAGTGCAGTGGTACAATCTCGACTCACTGCAACCTCTACCTCCCTGGTTCAAGTGATTCTCCAGCCTCAGCCTCCTGAGTAGCTGGGATTACAGATGCCTGCCACCATGCCCACCTAATTATTATTATTATTATTATTATTATTATTTTTTTTTTTTTTTAGTAGAGACAAGGTTTCCTCAAGTTGGGCCAGGTTGGTCTTAAACTCCTGGCCTCAGGTGATCTGCCCACCTTGGCCTCCCAATTTGCCGGGATTCCAGGCGTGAGCCACCATGCCCGGCCAACAGGCACTATTTTTATCCCTATTTTATAGATGAAGAAATGGAGGCATGAGTAGGTTAAATAATTTGCCCCAAGTCTCAAGTATCTTGACCATGTGGGAGCTTGGATTCACACAATGTAAAATCAGGCACAGTGCCAGAGTCCATGTCATGTCATCTCTCTTCTGTGCACAGCTCAGACTGGCCAAATGTGACAAAAACACCTGGTATAATAATCATTGCATTCATGAATTATAAAGCAGCATTTCAGATAAGTCCTAGACACTGGAGAAAACCTGAAAGACTGACCAAGAAGAGAAAGACATCCACTCATGGCAAGAAATGCACCTCTCTTGGCACATGTCACTGCTCATTCAGGCTTGGTCACACTACTCATTTTTCTACCAGCAGTGTACTGTCAGAATGTCTTCAAGCTTAAAGCCAAGCTCTGCACAAAAGCAGAAAGCCTGTAACAACACATGGCCCCTCACAAGAGGCTGTGCACAGATGGAATAAGGGCTAGAAACACGGCCTGCAGCAGGGAGAGGAATAGCAATTACCATCAAAGTCCTCTCGGGCCGAGCCTGGGAGCTCACGCCTGTAATCCTAGCACTTTGGGAGGCCAAGGCAGGCGGATTGCCTGAGCTCAGGAATTTGAGACCAGCCTAGGCAACATGGTGAAATCCTGTTTGTACTGAAATACAAAAAATTAGCTCGGTGTGGTGGTGTTGCGCCTGCAATCCCAGCTACTCAGGAGGCTGAGGCACGAGAATTGCTTGTAATTGGGAGGCAGAGGTTGCAGTGAGCTGAGATTGCGCCTCTGCGCTCCAGTCTGGGAGACAGACTGAGACTCTGTCTCAGGGNAAAAAAAAAAAAAAAAAAGGTCCTCTGCCTTGGATTCCACAGGGGAGAACAAAAAAAGTAAAAAAATTTTTACAAAGTCCCCTGCCTGAGAGAATAGGAGACATGTGAGTTTTACTTCTTGGGAAGCATGTTTCCATTTCAAACTTCCTGTTGGCCTGGCAGTCGGGCAGAAGGCCTGCAGGGACTCAAGAGGCAGGTCATAGCCATGCCCAATCCCCAGATTCCAAAATGCTGGCACCTGTGGTCTCACAGGCGTATTTCTATGATCAGGTGCCTCTTCCTACAAAAGGTGGGGCTTCTTCCTACCCCCATAGGAGTTACTGATTGGCAAATTAACAAGCTAGAGGAGTAGCTATATGAGAATAAGACTGATTTACTTAAAATGGTAATTATGCTCTTTTTTTTAAAAAATGAAGCCTTCAAACTATTGTGGTAGGGAAGTAAAGGAAATTATTAATTTTGATTTAATTCCTAAATAAGTAAAAAAAAAATGTTCTTAGAGCCTCCTCCATGGAAAATTTTCTGACTGTTCCCCAAAGAACTTAAATCATTTTCAGTAGAGTCATGTGTTATTTATACTGTGTGGTTAAAAGGTGGGCAATAGAAGTTACATCGAATCTCACTTTATAGCTGAGAAAACTAAGGCACAGAGAGATCCACTGTGAGGCACCGGCACTGACTCTAAAGAGACAGAATCTTGACCTTCGATATGTTCTCAGTTCGTGTTTACTTAGCTCCCTTTTATCTAATAAAAATGACACACACAGAGAACATCCAATAGCTACAAAAAGCTTTATCCATTTGTTTTTAAGATAAATGAAGTGAGACCTTGAACATAGCTGCTTGAGGTTCTCCCAGTTCATAAAATGGGGGTTTTCCTGTGGCCATTTCAATGATTGTGCAGCCCAGAGACCAGATGTCCGCTGCCTTTCCGTAGCCTCTTGGTCCTTTATCTATTATTTCCGGTGCCATATACTGGAGGGTGCCTGGAAATAATTCAAACACATTTCCCCATTTTAAAAAGATAAAACAGATGGATATCTAATGGCAGTTTCAATTTTTTTATAGAAATGAGACAACTGTAAGAACATGATTAAGTCCTAATGTCCTTTGTGAGTTCCAGTTTTCTCTATTATTAAAAGTGGAAATAGCAGTTTTTATAGTGGATTTCATCAGTGACATAAAAACACTTTACCAATATTATCTGGTTGTGAATAGGTATGCTCTCATTCCCTAAACAGTGGAGTATAATTGAGGTATCATTTCATTGGGCCTCTTAGAAACTTCTAACAATTAGTCTTTTGAGAGTAGTAAATACATCAACACTCATTTCTTTAAATGCATGAAGACTGTTACCATGTATACTTTAATCTTTTCCAGAAAAAAAATCTAGTTCATTCATCCATTTCCTTAGCTCTATCTCTATTTCTCAGTTCCTAAATCGAATGCTTTAGCTCTTCTGTTGTCATTCTTACTTCTCAATCGTGACAGCATGAAGATTCTGAAAGCCATTGTGAAAAAGAATGCAAAGAAATTTCTGGTGTGCACTATTCTGTAAACCAAATATACATGACTCCTGCTGTGTCTGTGGTCCATGGACTAACAGGCTTAAGAGAACAAAGACAGGCCATGAGCCATCCATACAGACACATCATCAGATACAGTGACTAAGAATAGAATGAAAAAGGGAAGAGATTTAGGGCTCCATGAAATCAGAGAGGTGGCGAGCGTGCTATAACGGAAAGGATTAAGTGGAGGGGCCATGAGCCCTTGTCTGCTTCCGGCCTGGTATATCCCAGGTAAACACTCAACTACAATTACCTCATTAACCAAAGGAGAGGCTGGATCTGAACTTCGAACACCCCACAAAGTGGCTTCCCAAAGGCTAGCAATGAGTCAGGAGCATGAATAGGAACGTATCACCATATACTCCGCTTCTGATATACAAATGATATAGTCAGCAAACAAGAGCTCATCTGACATGCCATGCTGACTTACTTCAAATCATGAGGGGTTTGCCAAAAGAGCTGCTTCAGTATTTTCTGATTCACAACCAAAGTGACAGACATTTTGATAAATACAGATGACACCTTTTAGGAATGTCTCATGCGTGATTTATAGGTGAAAACCATTATGTAACTCCTGCAAACTGTTCCTCTGAAAACCACAATCACAGGCAGAGGTGGACTATTGTTTACGAAAATAAAATATATCATTTTAAGTCTTGCCATCTTTCCGGGTTTTCCCTGCAGACCTCATGATTGCATAGCAGCAATTCACGTTCACGTTCACATACAACTGCACGTCAGCTCTCAGAAAGCCTTTCACCTGACCAAGGACAAGGCAACCATGTTCCCCGAAGACTCGCCCACCCATAGTACAACATTGGTATCATTTCTCTTCATTTGTAGCTTTTCCGCAAGTGATAATTTTGTATGATTTAAATAAGCTCAAATGGTCTTTTAGAAAATGTGTTGAAGCCTACCACCTCCTTCTGTTGTCTCTGCATCTAGACTAGAATTAATGAGAGAATTTAAATTGTACTAATAGCTAAGTAGGAATTATAGCAGATCAAAATTTGGAAATTTTTAATTTTTAAACATCATAAATTGGACAATTCAAGTAATGTCAACAACAAATTATGCAATATTTGATTTGTCAGATAATATTTCAAAGAGCTCCATCTGCCAACTGTGTTTAATTATCCCCCACTGAGCAAGTGCCAGAGAAACAGGTTGAGTCATGTATTCTTATCTGCTCTTCTTTTTACTCCACAAACACATGACACATAATATTTTAAACAAAGCAATTGATGTAGCTAGATAATGAAGATGCACGCCAACTGAACATTGGCCTAAGGAAAATCAATGAGAGGATTAACTCCAAAACTCTCATGTATCTGCATTCTAAAGTTTTTTTAAAATTACTTTGAAATATTTATTGTAGAATTTCTTTGCCACTGCAACTGCCCAGGGAGGTGGTACAGCTTAGTGGTTAATTAAACTCTAATGTCACATTTCATTCATTCATTCATTCATTCATTCAACAGATCCACACTGAGTGCCTACTATGAGCCAGGCACTGTTGTAGGCACTTAGAACACAGCAGTGGAGAAGACAGACAGGAATACCTGGGCTTATGTTTTTGCAATAGAAGCCAGATAATAAACTATCAGCATAGTCAGTAAATTATACAGCATGTTAGAAAGTGATATGTTATGAACAAAAAAACGCAGACCTGAGTGAAGAGGATCAGAGTGCCCAGGAAGGGTACCACGGTAAATAGGGTGTTCATGGTTGGTCTCACTGCAGATGTGACATCTGCGTTGAGACTGTCTGCGTTGCAGACACTGGAGGAAGTGTGGTAGCAGCAGGAGGAAAAGCCTGGGCAAAGGCCCTGCAGCGGGACCCTGCCTGCTGTCATGGAGGAAATGCAGGAAGGTCCATGTTTCTGGCACAGAGTAAACAAGAGAAGAAGAGTAGGAAATGAGGTCTGAAAGGGAACAGACTCTGAATCAGGTCAGAGCCTTGTCCTCTATTATAAGGGTTTTGGCATTAAAAGAAAGCCACTGAGGGCTCTGAGCAAGAGGACTTGGTTTATGAGTTAGAGGGATCACTCTGGCTGCTGTGCCAAGAGTAGACAGTAGGGGGCAAAAGTGAAGCAGGAGCACAGGGAAGAAGCTACTGGAAACACAGGTGAGCAATGAGAGTGGCAGCAGTGGAGGTGGTGACAATCAATCCAATTTTGGACACGTTTTGAAGGTAGAGCCAACCGGCTTCCTGGGTGGATTGGGCTGGAGTGTGAGAAAAGAGAAGCGCCCTGGATAAAGCTAAATCTGGAGCGGCTGCCAACTGAGACAGAAGAGTGTGCCGGGGACAGGTTTGGGGAGAAGATAATTAATTCCCTTTGGCCTGTTAAGTCTAGTTTGAGTCTCAGCTCTATTACTAACTAGCTTCGTGACCTTGGGCAAGTTATTCAGCCTCTTTGAAGCTTCATTTTCTCACCACAAACTGGGATAATGATACCTAATGATTAAGGCTGACCTATGAATTTCAATGAAACAACGTATGTAAAGCACTTACTGCAGAACCAGGTATACAGTAAGCACTTCATAAATGGTGATCACTGCTGCCATTTCCCTCATCAAAATCACCAAGAGGTGATACAGACCAATTTATTTTAACTCATCAGAGCTGACTAAGCACCCAGGGGACTTGGTGACCACCAAGTTCATGTTTAAAGCCTACGATGTTCAGGGATCCAGGTCTGCAGATCCTGGCCCTCAGGACCAGTGCTGGGGACGGATCTATGCACATTAGTGACACACATCACTCTCACGTGACACCAGGGGAAGTGGTCCAAGCAAAGGGCTCTGTGAGGACTGCTTTCCTACAGTTCCTTTGGAGATTTTACAAAAAAGATGTTCCCCAGATTAGCAGCAGAAGATATTATATTAACGTCCTGCCCCACAAAGTGTGTGAAAGTAGGTATTTTCATCTCAGAAGTTACTGAGTCTTGACGGCACTGAAACTGTCACTTGCCAAGTTAAGAGTATGAGGAAAAAAATGTAAAGACATTTAAAGTTATGAATAGGTCAGAATTTGGTTTATTCAAAAAAATATATTCAAAATGTGTTTAATTCTGTACCCTAAAATATCCATCACCTTAAGGCGGAACCTGGGCCAGGGGTATTGCTGACTGAATGTTCTGGGGAAAAAACTTACAGAATTTCTCTCTCTCCTCCTGCAGGAAGGTAGAGAGAAAGATGGAAGGTAGAGAAAAAGAAGGTAGACAGAAAGAGCCAGAAAGTGAAAGCAAAGAGCAAACAGTAGATAGAAAATCTGAGTTCTAGCTAGGCAGGGGGCTCACACCTGTAATCCCGGAACTTTGGGAGGCCAAGGCAGGTGGATCACGTGAGGTCAGGAGTTTGAGACTAGCCTGGGCAATATGGTGAAACCCTGTCTCTATCAAAAATACCAAAGATTAGCCAGAAGTGGAGATGCGTGCCTGTAGTCCCAGCTACTAGGGAGGCTGAGGTAGGAGAATCGCTTGAGACTGGGATGGAGGAGGTTATAGTGAGCAGAGATTGCACCACTGCACTTCAGCCTGGGTGACAGAGC